GCCGAGTTGTACAGTTAAATGCAAACTTTATGACTTTGTAGGGTCTCGAGGTTTTCTTAAATTAGTCTAACTTTATTTTTTTTCCCCACTTCGTAAGAATATTAGCCTTGAATGCTAGCCCTGTATGACAGGGATGAATGACCTAAGCCATATGCAAAACATTAGTGTCATATTTTGCACAGTGCCTGGCTATTTGTTTTTCCAATATTTTTCATACATCATCAGTAAACCAAGAAGACCATACTATGTTTGGAAACTAGGTAAATGATAACCAGGTATTTATCCTGCTAAGTGTTATTCTAAGCGTTGCAAAAGGAATGGATTCGGCACTTTCACCAGGATGCTGAGCAGATTTAGAAGCCTGTTGCTTATAGAAAGTGACCATGGACTTCAGTAGCCATACCAAAGTTTTCCTCTCTCTCTGTGGCATTTATCTCATCTTCCAGTGGTGATTAGGTTCCCTTTAACCAGCCATAATCAATAGCCCCGTAACAGAATGGTTGCATAAGAGAGTGTGAACATGTTGTCACTTGCCAGTGACCAACAAGCAGAGGTTTTTTCCCCCAGCCCTGAGCTCAGTGACAAAGTACAGTGTGTCTGTGCACTAGCTTCTCTCCCGAAAACCACCCCAAACCTGTTTCAGCACAAACTGTGTAGGTTGCCATTAGTTATTTTTAGCAGTATGTTTTCCCCAGCCTGGTTCATTTTCACCGGATTCAAGTAAGGAATAGATTACTTACGCATTTGTGTGGGCAGAATTGTAGCTAAGGAGAAAGGCACTAATTACCTGGGAGAGGGGGTGCTGAGTGGCTGGAAATAAATGTGCAGCCAAAACAGCATGTGTGTTAGCAGACTCAGAGCCAATATTAAACACTGTTCATAATCTATGCAAACCATTATCATTAATAAAGTAAATACCAGTATAGAATGATCTTTGACTATTTTGCCTAATCCAGTTAAAAGCTGCACCAGAGACTTAGCCCTTAAAACAAATATGAACCACACTATAAATTGCCACTCAGGTTAATTACACTTCCTGCATATTGACTGCAAGGAAAGATTTGCCTGATCTGCCTGTAGCAGCTCTCTATTACATCCTCATTGTTAGTGCAAAGGTAGCATGTAATGTTACTCCTCTGTCCTTAGGAGTCCCTTCTGAGCAGCCTGATATCTGATTGAAGACGTAGTTTGATTTGGCAAATGAGCCAGGATTACACTTGTCCTATCTCATTGTGGCTTCATTCTGCTTAGATCTAGTAGGCTGCTTTTTTTGACAAATAGATTTGTTGTTGCCCAAACACTCTGTTTGCAGCGAAGTTCCCTGACTGGTAGGCAGGGCTCTGCCTGGACCGCTGTGGAGCAAGGGAGCCTGAAATCATGTTCTCAGCTATGAAAGCACCTTGTTTTGCAGGGCTCCAGGATCGGCGGTTGATCTCAAGACTAGGTGAACAACTTTGAGGCTGTGGCATATAGGATCTCTGGCTGCAAAGATCTGCGCTGACAAGCCCCACATCTCTAACATGGTTTCTGTCTCAGACCTCCAATGAACAGACTAAAAATTGAGAGCAGGCTCTATAGCCAGGGCTAAACAGTTTTCTTGCTTGCAAGGACACTGGAGCAGGTGTTTCTAATGATGTCTGTGGGGGTGAAGGTGCTGCAGGTATTCAGCAGCTGGTCTTTGGTATCTTCAACTATATGTAGGGACTATTTCTCTTTATTCAATGCATCAGAAGACTGAAGTCTTCTAATTCCTGCAGAAGTTTTATTATGATAAAGGGAGAAGAAGTAGTAGCATACTGTGACCTCTTTAGGGCTGACTGTGTTTGGGCTGGGCTGGGAGTAGTCTTTAAGACCTGACTTTACATTTACTAAGAACAAGTAATTGCAATGTCATGGAACACCGTGTCCACAGTGCCTGTGAATAGCTGAATCACAGCAGGAAGCACACCTGAGAAATGAACAACCAACCAAGCATCTTCACAGATAAAACTACTCGGAGGTTTTGAAGCCCAAAGTCTCTTTTCAAACAGCATCAGTCAGTAAATACATTTATAAAGTAGACTATAAGCCTGTGAAGAGCAGAAGTTCTTTAAGGATACTGTAGTTAGATCTAGTGGTTTAAGTATTTCTTTAATACTGTAGGTTGAAACAAACAAGTCCAAACAACCAAACAAACCCAAAACAGATGCCTTAAACCCTTTCTCTCTGAAAACTATTTGCCATATCAGCAAAATACATGAGTAGTAGCATTACCTTCAGCAGAGGAGTGCAGCTGTTCATATAAACTCCACAGTCACATTTCCATGAAGTTACATTCCCACACTAGATTGATGTGAAGTAGCTCCAGGAACATATCAAAATGGCTCGTTATCAAAGTCCGTTCACTCTGAAAAACACAAAAATCAATTCTGAGGCAAGTGTTGCTTTTATATTTATATAAGTATATAAATATAGGTAAAAGAGTATATATGTGCACATACATGTTATATATGTGTGTGTGTATATATATAAAATTACATTGTGTGTGCAGATATATATATATATAAAATTACCTATATATAAATATACATAGAGATGCGTGTGGATGTGTTTGTATGTTATAAAGTAGGTCTGCCTTAAGGAGCAATGGTTTCTCATACAAATACCTTTCCATTCCTTCTTGGATAGCAGGTTCATCGCTTGAGCTGATGTGTCAAGCCAGTGGGAGAATCATAGATAAGCTCAGTAACCTGTGCATTCTGGGAAGCCGCTGGAGAAGGCAGCCTGTGAAGAACTAGCATATTGGTAGCATTTATTCATTATGTATAGGCCAAGCATGGTATTTCACTGACAGCAACAAGGGAAGCAGTAAGGCACAATTGCAACTGTTTGTATCCTTACCAATTTCCTTTTATTATTTGGGAGGGGAGAGACAGCTAGGAGGGTCAAACAAAATACTGAGCGACAAGAGTTGCTTTCTACAGTCTGCTGTTGTTCAGCAACATCGATCTCCTTGGTATAATTTGCATAGTTTTCCCCTCATTTGCTCTGTAGGTCCACAATGGAACATCATCTATGCCAACACTAAATAAATTGATTTCCCCTTATTTTGGTGAGTTATATATTCCCCAGGAACTAAATTTGTGTGATTTTTTGCATGTCTGCTGAATCCAAGACTTCGAGTACTGACTCAACACATTTCTCATCACATGAGCAATTCTCTCTGTAGGAGATGCTGCTGGCCACGGACTTATAGGGCATATTACAACCCACCTACTGGGCTGGGATTCTTGTAAAATCTAGAGGGCAAGGATTACAGCTCAGGCCTTACCACATGTCTGTCTTCAGAGGAACTTATACCTGTGGCAGAAGGACACCAGCAGAAAGTCGTTTGATTTTTTTACGAGCAACTACTTAGGTTTCAGCTTTCAAGATGAAACTTACCATAATGCTTACAAAAATATAGAATCAAAGCTGCTTCCATAGAGGAAAAATTCTAAACAAACAAGCAAACCCCCCCCCCCCCTCCCACACTAGAAAATATTGCATTCATTTTCCAGCCAATTAGTATGTCAAAAAATAGAGCGGTTTCTGGAATTTCAGTTGATTGCCACTGCTCACCTCCAGTGTGGAATCTATAGGGACAATTTCTACTTAGTGGCAGTTACTTTGCATAATAGCAGCCAATTACAGCAATTTGGTTCCTCAGGCATGCAAATTTTGTTGCCTAGACAGAAGTTGTTTCGCTCTGGCATTATGTGAATAATATATTACATTTCTGAGGTGAAGTGCACAAGTTCAACTCTAAGATGAGATTTGAAGGCATGAAAAAAATGCTGCACACAAGTCCACACACACACTTCTATATAAATGCTTTATTAAAAATGCTTCTGGGGCATCCCGTAACAAAACAGTATCCATTTACATTTTTTAAAAAAATCAAGACAAAGTGGTATCCATTGCAATACATTAATATGTTTTCCATTGTTCTAAAAGTCTGGTCAGTGCACAGCTGTGAACAGTTAAACTTAACTCTCCATGTATGCTGCAGGCTATCCACTGAGAAATTACTCTTACATGAACATAGTGCTTGATTCAAGTCATGGTTTGAAAAAAAGAAAAAGTTATACAGGTTTTGGAATTTTGTTTGTGGCTATAGCACAGTGTAGGAAAAAATAAGCATTACTTCTAAAATTTATAGAAGGGCAAGCCTTTACAAAAAAAAAAAAAAAACACACACACACACATATATGCAT